AGAATTTTCTTAGGCTCCTTTTTGCCGTACATCTCCTTCTCTAGAATAATGGGCACTCTTATTCATATGACCTTTCAGCTCTAGAATAATGGGCGCTCTTACTCGTATGACCCTTTAGCTCCAAATCTAGATCAATGATATGACCAGGTACCGGGGCATCAGAGAGATCCATGGTACCCAAGTTAGGAAGCTTTAGTAGAACAAGGACGTCTTCAAGTGTGGGAGTAACTCACCTCAAATAGTAATAAAGGTGTGAGTTGAGACATTCCACCGCTGAAGTAATAGCTTAAAATCATTGGAATGACGTACCACTGAAAGACTAGGAAACTCTCAAATAGCTTCCGCAATCCCTGTCTTTTCCAAAATGGCAACAAAAGGGAGATCATTTAGAAATACATGTTCAACCCAATCAACTCAACCACCTGTAGAAGATGCATGGAAAACAAAACACAAAGAAATCTAAAGAAAATTTTTACGAAACAAGCGCGAACAAAGTAAAGAGAGACCTGTAGCAAAAAAAAGTGTTTCTGCTAAGTTATAACAAAGGCAAACCTGAGCATCTAATGCAGGAGTACCTGATAGACTCACAGAGAAGAAGTTGCCACCGGAAGACAGAAAAGGATCAAAATCACATTTTGAAAAAAGTACATGCAGAATATATTTTAAAATTGACAATTAAGTTTCTCTTATTTCATTGTGTCTTCTTCTTATACTTCTCAAGTTTACGAATTTTCTCTTTAAATTATATTCCAAAACATTAATAAATTTCAGCATCAAAATAGATTTTGAAATTGATAATTAAGCTTGAACGTGTGGTTTTGACTATTCACTTCATAATGGATACTATTTTTTTTTTCATAAACTATAAAACTTATCTATGTGATGAACATTACATAATTTAAGACTGCCTAATAAAATTTTCGTTGTAGTTGAAGACGAGAGATCTCAGTTGTTAATGCTTCATACTATTAAGAAATTCTCTTATAAGTCTGCTTCCATGCAGGAGGAATGATTTCTGCTCATTTTCATGGAGAAAAAACAAATGATTTTACGCATTCACCGTTACTTGTGTCGGTTTGTTTGTGTTATGTCCTTTATTTCCAATAAAGGGTTTTTGTTTGACGAAAAATTATTGTATACATCAGACTACTGCATGTTTATAGCCTTAATCAGCAAACTAACTCTTTCTTTAAATTTAAAATATACTCCAAAGTGTATTTCTTATTGGCTAGAACCGTAAACATGTCGTGATATGAGACTGTACAACAATTTTTTTGTGGTGTGGTTCTTATGTATTTTCCTTGCTGATGATGATTATGTTTTATGGTTTAATAAAACGAGTCAAAATATTATGATGCTGTTCTATGTTGTCTATGCGCGTTTGTTCAAACCTTGTTTGATATAGAATACTAGTAATTAAGATCGCCTAACTGCTTACTTAAGAATCATTTACAATGTCTTTTGCTTCACCCCATTTAGTTTTGTTGGATTGTGGGGTAAGATTTTGATTGAGGATGCTTCCGACAATAGCTTCTGTTATTATGATTATGAATTGGGTAAGCTTAGTTTAGGTCAATTGCTTGTAATTTTATAATAGATTTTTTGTTTACCCCTTTTGGTTTTGTTGGATTGATGGGGGAGGTTTTGATTGAGGATGCTTCCAATAATGGCTTATGTTATTATGATTATCAAATTGGGTGAGGCATATTTTAGGTCAATTGCATGTACTTTTAATGCACATACTACTTTTATCAAACTATTTGATTTCCTTTAACTGGGTTGTGGGGACTAAATGAGTAATCTTTGATCCAATTTATTCTTCAGTTTAGCTATGCCTATGTCCCATGTTAGCCTATTAGAGATAACGTCGTTTTGGTGCTATGTTCGTCTATTTCTTTTTTCCCTTTAGGACACGGCAGGATTTGATATAGACGACCATTTATTTAATTTTGAAAAAAACAATAGTTGTGTTTTTTCATTTGTTTTACCACAAGAGACTCGTTTAAGAAATCTTCTACAAATTTCAATTTAAATGTTGCTTGAAGCTTTTCGGTAAAGGCTTACGAAAAAAAAAAAATACATTAATTTTTATTATAAAAAACTACTCACCATATTAGAAATATAAAAATATAAGATTTACTTTCTTTTTAATTTTATATTTATTAATTTTAACTTGATATTAATATTTTTAAATATAAGTCTTGAAATTGGAATTATAATATTGTTATGATTTTTTCCTTTAAATTGTTTTTTTGGTATATATGATGTGTCCTTTTTTTGTCAGTCAGTGTTATGTGTAATGGGTTGGGCCGCTTGGCACAGGTTATCGTGCTACTTCTTGTCTTCATGTATAAATAAAAATAGTAACTTAGACCAAAATAATAATAATAATAATAATATCAAAATTTCTTTCTACACCCTGTTTGAAAATTTAATTTCAAAATAGAGTTTAATTTTTTCCAAAAATTAAATTTGGAAATAATTTATAACTTTTAAAATATTACAATTTGAAAGTAACAAAATTTTTTTTTGAGATGCAAATAGAAAAATGGAGGTGTAAAAGAATTCCCAATAATATAATTACAAGAACTTTTAAAAATATTTTTTTCCTTGCAACATGGCTAAAATATTATTTATCAAACTTAGACAATTATTCTTTCTTGATTTAATTTTTAAGAATTTGTTATGTTTAAATTTTTAATATAATATTAGAGTTTATTCAATCTTAATATCAAGTCACTTAAAAGTGTCTCATACATTAAATACTTAAGATGTGTGAGTGTATTAAAATATTCTAACTTAATTGAGAATATAATTAGAATACTTTTATCACAATTAAACTATTTTTTTAAGCTAATTTTTAGAGTGGGTTAGCCTCAATCTATTTTCAATAAGAACTTTATGTTTTATTGAGCTCCCTAAGCTTCTGTCTACTTTGTTTCACATCATCTTCTGAACAGTTACCCATTTGATATGTGGAAGCTATCATTAGGAGGTGCCGTCGATGAACAATGCATATTTTAGTTGGTGGGCTCATGAAAGTTCCTTTTTGCTCAAACCCTAGACACGTTTTATGTTGAGTGTATTATTTTTCACAATGCCATCTACTTACGTATTTGCTTATGTATGTAGGTCCTTAATAACATCCTCGTAAATTTGTAATCTCTACTTCTAACTTTTATAGACATTATTATAGTTGTTCTAATGGAATAAAAAGTATGTTTTATGTCCATTTATATATCTGCTAGATAAATTAAGGCATTGCATGTTGAATTGTCGGCTTACAAGTATTTGTCAACCCAACATTCTGATTGAAATCTAATGAACATCTTAACACTGATTATGGGGTTCATCAAGTCTTGTAGTTATGATTAGCAAAACCCACATTCATAAGCTCACCGAAAGGAATAAAGATGAAAGTTTTTACTGAAAAACATAGCAGGGATACATTCAAAAGTATAAAAGATGTGTTAATAACATTTATTTATAAACAGTGTTGGAATAACAAATATAATTTTATATTAGACAGTAATCAACAAATTGAACAAAACATATAAATGATACTAAACTTCACTTATATAAAATATTTAAATTTAATTAGCCTGACAACATGTTTCATATAAATTATATGATCTTAAAAATTATATATATATATATATATATGTATATTTCTTATATGAATAAATTTTTTTGTTAATTAATCTTTCTATATAATTTGAGTATAAAATTTTAAATTAGAACAGTTCTTTTTAAGAATGTATTTTTAAAAGATTGATTATCTTTTCAATCACGTCAAATTTTTTACATTAAATATTAAATTTTTAATTTAACATTAATTTAAATTTTAACAATGTTTGCTTAACAAATAACTGTTCACTAATCTAATCACAATTTATATAACTCTAACAGGGAAAACAAAAAATGAATTTTTTTTAAAGAAAACATGTAAGTGAACAAAAACAAATAAATTTAAAAATAACAAACAAATTAAATATTAAACACGTAATATTGAAGACTTTATGGATTTGATTTGATTTGTTTTTTAATTAGCACTTAAAATTTGAACCGACCAAAATTTAATTAACTCAATCAACAGGGAGATTTTTTTTCTTTTTCTTTTAAGGTTTTGCACAAAAATTTAAAAGATATTAGTATTTTAAATTTTATTACTCAATTTTATATTTTATCCTTCATCTATTATATCAGTGATCTCACTTATGTATTCTCTTCTACCAAACTAATATTAATTATAAAAAATAAATATGTAAATAAAATATTAATTATTTATTAATTTTATAAAAAAACAATAAGACAAAAATGTAACTAATACCTGGTTTGTAGAATCTCAGAGTAATTCTCTCTGAAGCACTAAAACAATTAATGATGATTATATTTATTAAAATTTGGCTTTGACACTACATATATGCACACGAGGATTAGTGCTCATGTTTGTTACACGGTATAATTCATTTTAAAATAATTCTCAAACTGAATTCGAATCTCCAAGATTACACTTGAAAAATAAAATAAAAAACCATAATCTTCTTTTAAAAAGAGATAATATTTTTTAAAATTCAAATAAAAGTAAATAGGAATAAATTGGAGTAAAATCCTATATATATATATATATATATATATATATTTATTTATTAAAATAGCACGCCATAATTTCACAACAAATTAACTTGCGTAAATCCGATTCAATTTCCATATTCTATACCAAATATTTTAAAAAGGACGATGCAATATAGGTTTGAGTATCGTAAATTCTAAAGAGAAACGATTTCCGAAATCACAAATCAAAGCATATAAACGTAAAATGAAATAAACATAAATATATATAAAAAAAAGGAGTTTTTATTTAAGCGTGAGAAAAAAAAGAAAAAAAAAGAAGAATTTTCTAGATCTCATGTAAAAATAATAAAAAATAAAAGAAAATATTAGTTTGAAGTTTGCACATCCTAAGGGCATTCATTGATTGCTACATATAAATAGGGCAATGGTATTGCTAAGCCTCGTCTCTTGAACAAACCTCTTGAGCCGCACCTTCTTATCTCTTCTCGTCTCATCTCAACACTTTCCTCTCTTTCGTTTCGCTTCGTCTGAGTTCTCCTTTCAATCTTCTGCAGGTATCATCATCATTCTTACACTTCGTCTTCTCTCTCTCTCTCTCTTTTTCATTATCGCTTTTCGATTTTCCTTTTTTGAATTTTATTTAGGTTTCAAGTTCTATCTGGAAAAACATAGATCGTGTAATCGGTTTCTTGTTTTAGATATATCTATTTTAGATTCAATGGATTTATTTGTTGTCGACTTTTAGTGTTTTTTTTTCTTATTTATTTTTGTGGTCGGATTTTGATGCGATTGAGATCTGAATATTTGTTGATGATAAGATTTTATATCGCTGCGTTTAACGATCTTCGGTTAAACTCCAGCATTTGGCGATAAACCTTGCCCTATTTGTTGTGTTCATGTTTGAATTATTTTGTATTGTGGTAATTAATAGTTAAGAGTAAACTTATTGTGTTATTATGATTGATGGTTAAGATTTTAACTGTGTTTGGATTAAGTTGATTTGGAAGAATAATCGCGTTCTTTTATATGTTCAGAATAATATGTAGCTAAACGTGCATGCCAAAGTCTGTTGGAAGTGTTTGACTTGTGATTTAACTTGGGTTAATCTGTTTGAACGATGGTTTTTGGATTGTGCGAAATGGTGTCCGTTAATCTGTGTATTAGATCCCTCTGTGGGTGATAAGGCTTGCTGGTTGTTTTTTCGTTGATCTACTCGATGTTAAATAGAACACCTGTCAATTATTTAAGCCACTTTGCAAGGTGTTTTTGAGATAGATTTTTAGTTTAATTTGTCTTCAGGGTTCCAAATTATGCGATATGATTATTATGTATCGGATATATGGCATTTATTTTTTTATGGCTTTTTTTGTGCGTTATGTTATGGACTTGACTGTCTTCTTTTTCCGATTTGTTGTTGTCACTTTCTGGAAGTGATAACGAGTGTTTTGCCGTTGTTATTGAGATAATTTAGCCTCTGGTTGTTGACTCAGGAATCCTGCAAGTTCTGCTGTAGCAGATTCCAAGGTGAAGGTGTCACGTTGAAGTTTCTTTCATGTTTGAACGGGCAATTATCCATTTTGGAGCAATTGAGTTGCTTGGAGATTGTTTTTCGTCGTCTAGAAAAAAGAACAGGCCCTTACCCAGAAGGCTTAGCTGTATGCATCGTGCGCCATACCAGGAACATCCTAAGCTTTGTTGTTGGTGTTTGCATCCCACCATTGCTGAAGGAGGGTCTTTGTGATTACAATCAGCAGATCACAACATTGCAGCTGAATAAACTTTGAATTCCAGCATCTGCTGCCACTCTTGTGTTTCTTTTGAGACTTTCAGTATTTGAGTCATCATGGCCTTACAGAACATTGGTGCCAGTAACAGTGATGATGCCTTCTACAGGTATAAGATGCCTAAAATGGTTACCAAAATTGAGGGCAGAGGTAATGGCATCAAAACAAATATTGTCAATATGGTTGATATTGCAAAAGCATTGGCAAGGCCAGCTTCATACACAACAAAGTATTTTGGTTGTGAGCTTGGAGCTCAATCAAAATTTGATGAGAAAACTGGGACTTCTCATGTTAATGGGGCACATGATACTGCAAAACTTGCTGGCCTTCTTGAGAACTTCATTAAGAAATATGTCCAGTGTTATGGTTGTGGAAATCCTGAAACTGAGATCTTAATTACTAAGAACCAGATGATTCAGCTGAAATGCGCTGCTTGTGGTTTTGTGTCTGATGTTGATATGAGAGACAAGCTGACTACCTTCATCATTAAGAACCCTCCAGAAGTAAAGAAAGGATCTAAAGACAAGAAGGCCATGAGGAGAGCTGAGAAGGAAAGACTGAAAGAAGGTGAATTAGCTGATGAGGAACAGAAAAAAATAAAGAAAGATGTTAAGAAGAAAGGAACCACATCTTCTAAGGATGGCACAACAAAATCTACCTCTTCAAGGAAAAAGGCAAATGGCTCTGATGAAGACCGAACATCTCCTCCTCGCAGTCAAATTGATGAGAAGGAAGAGGCTCATGATGAAGAAGATGACGATGATGTACAATGGCAAACAGATACATCACTGGAGGCTGCTCGACAACGTATCCAAGAACAGTTAAGTGCTGTGACAGCCGATATGGTCATGCTCTCCACAAATGAACCAGAGAAGAAGGAGAAAGCACCGACTAAGGTAAGCAACAATTCTGATAATGGTAACTCCATGCCCTACAGGACACTGGTCGGGGAAGTCAAAGCAGATTTGAATAAAGGTGTTGCAGCAAAGGAGTTGCTGTCCCATCTGGCTGCACTTCCTGGATCTGCTCAGGAGAAGATGAGCGCTCTGTATGAAGCCCTTTTTGAGGGCATTGAGAAAGGGTTTGCCAAAGAAGCTATTAAGAAAAAGAGCTACCTCGCCGCTGCAGTTGCTGAGGAAGAGGGTTTACAGTTGTTATTGCTGCGTGCAATTGAGGAATTTTCTGGCAAGTCCACATCCAATGCGTTGAAGGAGGTTGGCCTGGTTCTGAAGGCACTGTACGATGCTGATGTCCTGGAGGAAGAGCACATAGTGCAGTGGTATCAAAAAGGGCTGAAGGGTGATCATAAGAACTCGCAGATTTGGAAGAATGTCCAACCTTTCATTGATTGGCTTCAGAATGCAGAATCAGAATCGGAGGAAGAATAAAATGCTTGAACTGTTTACTTTTGCTTTGCTTGTGTCTTTTGTTCCAAATAAAGGGTCTGGTCCCTAGTGGTGTTGATCGTTGTTCTAAAACTTACTTGTGATGTGTACTTTCGTGTCTGTACTTGCGTAAAATTATGTTCTGAGATTGTGGATCGTGCGTAGTATTATTGTGTTTGACTTTTGTCTTGGTTGTTTTTTACTATAGCTCTTCCGTCTTCATTGCATTAAGTTATGTGAAAACACTTAGCATAATGTGTCCTTGGACCTTGGCCTTCGTTGTTATTCGATGCTTGTCTCTGGAGAAACTGCCGTATAACTCTTGCTGCACATTTGAAAGAATGGTAGAATTCCTTCCATGATTGTCCGGTTGCGTGAGAAGAAAACTAAGGAAAACAATAAGCGTTACAATAAAAAGAACGCAGTGCTGGAGCCACGAGATGTTTTTGTTGCTATTTTTTAAATGAAGATCAAACTTTCATCTTTATAACGTGCTAGATTTTTAAAATTGGTCTTTATTATATATACATAATTAAGGTAAAATTTTAATCTTAATTGAACAATATCATCACTATACCTAAGTTGTAATAAATTTATTTTTATAAGAACTTGAGATTTGCCAACATACAGGCCTAACTTCACTTGGTCCAAGTTATTATGTAAAAAACTAATACGTTCAGAAAATTAATTAAATTTTTTTCTACGGCTTTATAGTTTTACTCCTTGAAGATGAAATTCATCAGTTAAGACTTAGGGTGTGAATTTCACTTAAGCAATTTGTATATTAGAAATAAAATATAGTTAGGGATTTATATGATCATTGCATAAAGTAATTCCCTTTTGTTTATTTTGTTGGGATAGTTTGAAGACTAATGTATGGTTGGTTGGCATTATACTCCAAGGTTTTAAGAAGTTGATTAATTTAAGCTATATATATACAGAGAGAGAGAAAGAAAGAAAAAAGAGGAAAGAGAGTGAAAAAAAATTTTCTTACATCAATATAAATTTAAGAACTTTTACATTTAATCTTAACCTTTGGTCATGATATATATATTTCACTTTATCAAGTTGTTATGTTGATAAGTAGAGATACTATTATGTTCATATAGATAGATAAGTAGCTGATGAAATTGGTAAAGAAATGTATAAAAAATGCATTATAACTTTTTATTTTAAATTGATTAGTACACTTTTCATTTTGCTGTTTGCAATAATCTAGTTAGTCATGATAATGTATATTTTGGTACTTCGTCTTTGACTTTGCCTTTTTTCTTTCTCATCCTTTTCTTTTGCAATAACAAGGGGCTATATTTTTATATAGAACAGAACAGCATCTTTACATTAATTGACTTTTGCAGAGGAGTAACTACATTTTTTTTCCAGCCATTTAGGTCTGCTCCTGCCTTCCCTTCAAATAAAGGATGATATGACTCCACTATGATTTATCTTAGCAATCTCTTCATCCGAAGGTGACCATTGAATTCACTGAATGTGAATGACACGTAATTGAGACTGTCTTGTGTCATTTTCCTCATGTGATTGCAAAGGAGAATGATGATCCTGTGCAGAAAAAAAAAATTGATTTCCCTTGCCTAATGACACCAAGACTTCATTAAAATATGAATAAGGAGTTATTAGTTTGTTGCAATCAAATGCATGTGCTGGAGATGCATTCGGTGCCCGATTTGAAGAGCTTATGAATAAGCAAGACAACTTTTGAAAATAATTTGACTCCAACAAGCTTTTAACTTATTTCAGTAACTATATTGATATAACTTATTAAAATAAGTTATTTTCAGCTTACCACATTGAATTTTATGGTTAATTTTATTATATAAATCATTTTTTTTAAATTATTTAAATAAATACTTAAGTTGTGTATTAGAATGCAGGATAAATTAGTGCAAGATGAGCATAGGAAACATTAAACCTGTACTAAATATATATTCCACCAATTGAATTGTATATCTTAGAGTTAGCAGCAATAGCATTTAATAAAAGATATAATTTCGAAGTCCATTGAACGTTCCTCTTCCTTTCGGTTTTGCTGCTACTTTTCTTTACTAAAACAAATCAATTGAAAATCATCCATTTCCCTGTCTTTACAGTTAGGCATTATCTGATTAATTCTCACGACACCTGAAGTGATTACCAAATAATGCGCCAAAATATTGTATCTTTATACAAATATCACTGGGATACATGGAATTCTTAGTAACCCTTGTAGTAGTAGTAATAAAGTAATCAACTACTTACAGAGTTACAGGTCTGCAATAATGGAAATTTTAATTAAGCATTGATTTTTGAGTATCTATTAAACAACACCAACTATTCAAGACTACGTTGGAAAGTCACATCTAACCACATGCAAATGTTCCAGAACAAATTTGCTAACCTGGTATTGAAACCGTTGGATTGCAACAATAGCTTTAAACATTATATACATTGGTACAGTTATTCTCAACACTACTAACTGCAATGCATAGAAGAAAACAAAATTGTTTTTTAGACTAAAGTGTCAAAAAGGTCGTCATTATGTTTTTCCATAATGAATGTATCTATGCTCTCTTACCATAATCACTGTCAATGAATACTCTCCTTCTCCACTGAGTATAAATATGATTGGAAGTGTATGGCGTAAAACAAGAAGAACAATAAACTGCAATAGATATGGAAACAACCTTATTGTAAGAATGGTAAGCAAAACTGGTAACATAAACATAACACTAGAACAACCACAGCAAAATTCATTTTCAATTATAATGTGCATGAAACTAAACAAATCTATAAAGTTGTCCGTGTCACAATCTGCATATATAGATGAATTGCAAATTAAAACACAAAAGTGAAGGGAGAAAAAGGAAATTACAATAATGGCAACAATGCGGCAGCATTTTAGGCTCCTTGTAGAGGGTGCTAAATATTCTAAGTCAAGGTCTAGGAATTCATGGTTAGCAGTAAACATTGCAATTAACTCAGGATTATGAAGATCACTTCTTGAAATGTTCCAATTCCCTCTGAGATAACAATTTCTATCATCATTTAATCGTAGAAAAAATATTATATAAATTGGGATTATGAATTTAGTGACAGATTAATTAACAAGTACCCAAAGTTTATTGAAGAACCACCGTAATGGAATAGGGGAGGTGGTGGGGGAAGAGTATACCCGGGCTTAAGTTGCTGCAGTACCAAATAAAAATGGAAATCTCATGAGTTTGAATAACTAGAATAAATGAAAATGTTTGAATAAAATAAGATTTTTGTTAATTTCAATCTTTGAGGTTAACGAACTTAAAATAGCATATTTTTATTAGGAAAAAAAAAACACATTTTTGAGTAAATATAATAAATACTTCTTTTAATAAAAAATTATATTTTGAGTGTTTATATTTAGTTTTAAAAACTGAGGTCAACTTTTTCTATACAATAATACTTCCTTTGTCTTCGAAAAATAGTCATTTAAGATTAAGAGATATAAACTAAGAAACATATTTCATTATCTTGGTTCTATAGAAAGTATTATAAAATTTTCTATTATATCTTTTATATAATTTTATAGTGAAAATTTTTAAAAATTGTTTATGTAATAAAAAGATAAAAAATAAGTTTTGAATTATAAAATGAATATTATTTTGTGAAAAATGAAAGTAGTTAAAGTGTTTTTTTTTTTTTAAAGACAGAGTGAGTAGGAGATTACAAACCTGTTGACAAATCTCACAGGTAGTATCGCCTTTCTCATTGCACCATCTTTGAACACATTTTCGATGTGCAAACTACAGTCATCAAAAGAAATAGAAAGCTCAAGTTCTTAATCTAAACAAGGCACCAAAAGGGCCATAGCAATCCTATAACAAGCAAGTATATTAAAAAGTAAGCAACTATTACGGTTTAATATTTCGAATTTCAAAGTTTATATTAGGTGAAGATGATCTTCCACGAGTATAAATTTACGCAAATAAATATAACAAACATTGCAAAATCAATTGGCAAGACAATGTTACCTTCAAGGTGCCACAACAAGAACAGGGTGTGTCCATGTTTGAGTCTTCATCCTCATCGTGGCATATTCGACATTGTACCAATCTATTAGGAGATGACATAATTTGCTCATTCATATCATTAACATATCAACATTGCTTGATCATAGAGTTGTTTGTCGCAACCCCTCCTTTAGATCTCAATAGCATTGCATTTATCTTCAGAGATTACAATCACAATGTAAGTAAATCAATTTCATCTTTGCTTTATAAATTTGATTTGATTTATTTATTTATGTTTGCCTAAGGTGGTACGTTTCACAAGAGATAAGGGAAGAAAGGAACTTCCACGCACACAAGGAAGGTATACTGTTAGCCAATCTTCAATTCAAATAAAATGTTCATCTTAGACCAAGTATATGAATCTTGAAATTCCCTAACAAAGATGATCTTTGAAATTGGAATATCCAATTTTTTAAATAGATGCTTGTCCAAATGTTCTATTGGTCAAACCTTCCCATCAATTTGCCTTTGCCTTTCTCTTTTCTAGGTTTGCGTGAGTATGTTATTATTTAGACTCAAGAGTTAGACAATAAGAAATGTTCTTGTAAATTCTTAAATCTCAATGGGAATGATTTGAAAATTTACTAAAAAATATCAAAGTAAAACTATTTATCTATTTGAGATAGTTTTTGCCACCTATCAATTCTGGCGATACTTTTTTAAAAAAATTGTTCACTTTAGGAGTGATATATATTATGTGCTTGACATCCTAGACAAGTAAATGAATTTTTTTAATATTTTTTAATAAATAATTTTAAAGTGTATTTTATTTTTGTCAACAAGTAAAGATGAAAGTCTTTCTTTTGAAAAATAAAAATAAAAAGCTGTACCGTGGCATAGATGCTTCTTTGAGTCACTTTCCATTGGAAATGAAAAGCATATTACACAGTATGATTCATGAATCAACAAAGATCAGTAAAAAAAGCCAAATCATGGCACCCAAGGTTTTGAAAATTTGAAGAATGAAGAAATAGGTGCAGACAAAGGAAAGTGACACACTTTTGACTATTGTGTTAGGCTAGTTTTGTCCTGAAGTGACCCAAATTAGATATTGATTTTGCATTAGAACTGCTTAAAACATGACTTTAATGAGATTCATTGTCTTGGCCTATATTAACTTAACTTCAAAAAGACAAGTAAATATTTTCACAAGGGTAACTTAATTTCTGATCAAATTTCTATTGATTACAAGCCGCAATTGCTCCAGAGAATATACATAGTATTGTCGAACACAATATTTTCAATGAAATGGGATCATGTAGGGCCAATTTTCAACTTCAAAATTGAGTTTTCATGTGCCTCAACAGCAAATAACTCGAGGTACATCGTATGCTGGCGAAGAACAAAACCAGGTTAATTAATTAAGTTTGTCGCCAACTTTTCTAAAGATTATTTTAAGTTATCTTTTCAAATATTGGTATTTTATATACTTTCTTTAACTGTTTACCTGTTATTTAATAGACAATTTATTGATGTAAGAAATTGACATGTTCACAGTTGATGTATACTTTTAATATAATTTTATAATATTTATATTAATAAATTAATTTCTTAGAAAAATGCTAGTGAGAATAATAAGTCTAATTATGACTAACAAATTTTTTATTAGTATGTACGTTAAATTTCAATTAGAGGATTGTAGCATCAAATATATAATATGAAGCGGGAAAACTTTGAGCAAATTATAACGACAGCAAAATCTTTTCTTGGTGGTGATGTTGGTTATTTGAATCAAACGATTAAGTTGGTGAACATTTGATATTAAAAAGTATTTATTTCGTCAAATTATACTTTATTATACAGTGAAAGTTTCACCTTTTATAATTTATTTTTATATTTTTTTTTGTCATTAAAATTTTTACACTTTTTTATGTCATTTTACTTTTATGTGGTGCTACCTTTTTGTATTAATTACTTTATCTCTCATAAGAGAGTTTATTGATAGAAAATATATATATATAAAGGGATAAATTAAAAACCATGAAATCACAAAAAAAGTATAATTTATCCTATTTCTATGGTAATGGCGCCTAAACCAGTTTCCATTTCATCCTCTCAAATTAAAATTGAATTCTATTACTTACATGATTGGTTATAAATTTTCATCCCTTAAATTAATACATAAGTCACAACTATCAACAAAATAAAACATAGATATTTAACTCTGCTTTTAGTTCAAATTTGATCATGTAATCCTTCTTGGATCCTTAGAATATCTGAGATAACATATTTTAAGGTCCAATTTAAATTAATTTATCAAAAGTATTTATATATAGAAAAGTAAAGTAAATCAAAACTTTTCTCACATATACTTTAACATTGATCATTTTTGGATTCAAGAATCAAAAGTAGTGCTTTATTCACTTCATTTCAACTGGGTCTAGTAACGATATATTCTACCAAGATTCTTATTAACAAACCCAACCTAATTGGATGCCATACACATAAAAAACTCAAAACTTGTCCTTGCAACACGATTATTCTATCTTAGCATAAACCAAAGTTAGATAAAGATGTTCATCCCAATTTTCAGGGCACGAAACAAGATCATTGCAACAGACAGTGGAACACTCAAAGCTACCAATGTTACCATCCCTAAAGCAATACTTGGTCTAATCCCCATCAAATAACCCTGCAACAACCCAATTGCATTACAAATATCTTCATCATAACGATCATAACACTGCTTCTCCCAATCCATCCAATTAGAAGGTGGGTCTTGTTGATTCATCTCTAACATCTTCATCTCCCTTATACGCAATCGCAGCACTATCATGTTCTCATCCACTAATCTACCCATGTAATCTCTTCCATTGTTTTCTCTACTACTTGCTCTCACAATTCTGCTATTATGGCTCCTTCTTCTACATTGCATAGATCTCCATGAAAGCTTACAAGATGAAAGATGTGAAGCCTCCATTCTTAATAAATAAGAAAGAAATTAAAGACAAGGATCAATGGGGTGAGTGAAATGTGAGAAAGGGTGATATATACTTATGAGAGATGCAATTAAATTAACTGTGCAAATTACGTGAACTCGATTGTCATATTTTTCATGTAATCCCAAGCAAAGACGGCGCGTGGGTCACCCGTGCCCAAAAGTATCCGCCGATTTTTTTAATATACGGCTGTTATTAAAGATTATAGAATATTCAACGATTTAATATATTAGTAATATTAAAAGTTATAATTTTTAATAAAATATATTTTTAGTCTTTTTTTATATATGATCTGGCCGGAGTTGTAAATATATATGATCCGCAACTCAATTTTTCTAAGATGGTAATAGGCGGCTAATGATGAGTGATGATGATTTGAATATTTAGATGCATCGACAATTTCTTTCACGTCAAACTTCACTGCATAACAAAATTCGGCTTCATGAATTATATTCCCACAGGGAATGATGGACACGGCCTGACCTCTCTTTTAATGTCAAATATGAAATACTCTTTTATTTGTATGCATGCCATAGGTTGAGAAACATTCTGGCTCTTGAAATTCTAACGCAAACTTGAACCCAAGCAAAATTGGAGGCTCTTTGCCATCTCTAAGGCATGAAATTTGCAAACCTGCCAACTTGTATACTTACAGATTGCGATTTGATGTAGAATGTGTGATCAGAACATTGTAGCTATAATTCAGGAATTTCAGTCTTGATTTGGTTCAATCATGCTTAAAAGAGAGAGGGGGATATATATATATATATAAGATCACTGATCATTTGGGGAGCATCATTTGGGGAGCATACCCCAGAAGTTGCCTATTGGCCTTGCAAGTGTTCATTCAGCCTCCTTTGATCTCATGGTAGATGATAGGGAGTTCACTAGCTCTAGTTGTTATTAGTACATGTAACAAGATATTTTTTTAAAATTCTTAATAAATTGACAAAATTAAGTTATATATCTTTGACATAAACTGGACTCAATACTCATTTAGTGATCTACCCTTCCCCTAATGTTCATTTATTTATTTTTAAATAGCACAACAAAATTTTTCCATCCAATGTTAATCTTATATATAGTCTCTTGTAAAACTTATCCATTTGAGCAAAATAAATGAAATGCCGTGATTTAACAGTATCTCATATACCAGAAAGATAATATATCTTATAACAAACCTAAAGAGCAAATTTGAAATTCTTATATATGAGTACATTCAACTTTCTTGATTTATTTGATTTGGAATCTAGCAAGCAATTCCAACCATATATTGGTAGCAACTAAACCCCTTCTATCTATCTCTCACCTTGAACCAAAGCAAGATAAGAGGTACTTTGCTATCTTCATAGCATGAAACAAACCCACCCCTGAACATATCATCACACTCAAAGCTACAAGGACTAACATCCCTAATGCAGCACTTGGTCTAAGGCCCATCAAATAAGATTGCAATAACTGCATTGCTTCAAAAACATCTTTATCATAATAAGCATAATATTGCTTCTCCCACTCCATCCAATTCGAAGGAGCTTCTTGATTCGCCTCCAACATCTTCATCTCCTTTACACGCAAACGTAGAACTATCATGTTCTCATCTACCGAACTCCCCCAACGATCTTCATGATCACCAACTTTGCACCTCATTCTAACCATACCCCCATGTGATCTATGGCTCGTTTGATTCTTGGAAACTTGGCTCCATGAAAGCTTGCACTTGCACCATCCAAAATTTGTCGCCTCCATTGATAGTTAAGAAGCTTAACACCTCTATTAATTATTTTTATATGCTAATAAGTTTAGGGTGTGAGTAGCTCTAGCAATGTTGTTAGAATGGGTTGTTGGCAAGCAATGATGATTGATGATATAAACTTATATATAGTATACAAAGGATTCAACAATAGATTACATAACGATGATCAAGTTAACCGTGTTAAGCGTGACATGTTATCATTGGAATATTTATGTACAGCAAAAATACTATGCAGCTACGCGTATGTGCCGCGTCCATTGTATCAGTTAGTATACGTTGCTTATTGAAGTCAACAAAAGAAACCAATGCTCAACCTGAACAATTTGGTGATCATGACTATATATATTAGACTTTAACAAACAGAAACAGATGCTGATTGAGTAATTACTAAGGAAATAAATTTTGAAGTGCTGAAATTGTTGGCTCCATGCAGGAAAATATTGTTTCCTTTTGGTTTGGTGGACCCCGCTACGTATCAGATACATTATTAAAGGAAAATTCATTTATAAAATAGAGATATCTCTGTAATTGATCAATGAAAAGAATATGTTTTTAGAGGGTATTTTTGAAATGCATATATATGAAAAGATAAAAAGAAATAAACGAGAGATGAAAATGATTTTATATCATATCAAATAGTGTATTAGTAATTTAATAATTAAATAATAAAATTAGAATTAATAAAATTTGTAGTAGAAACCTTATCCTGAAATTGCCTGAACCGACCACCCTAAAGTCCAAAGCGAGAGAGAGATTGGTAGTTTTGCTATGTTGTCCATATAAGTGTATTTCTTGAGTTAGTTGTTAAACATTTGTAATTAATTTAAATTTATACGAAAATATTATGACCATGTTAAAATAGAACCTTCCTCAAAAAAGACAAAAGAAAAGTATCAAATTTTAAAATTGTGTTTAGAATAAGAATCATGAATGAAGAAAAAAATACACTTTAGCTTGACAGGTTACCTAGTCAGATTTATTTAAAATAACATATATAAAATGAAATATTCTCTTATATAACCTTCGAATATTTTTTTTAATTTGAAAAATAAAAGTTAACTCTTCTTTCCTCTTCCTTCCTTTTTCTTCTAAGCTTCTTAATTCAAAATAAACATTAAAATATTCGTTAACATATTAATTCCTTTGTTATCAATCAGAATACTCATCTCAAATGTGACGACATCTCATATTACACTTTCTTTTTATCTGTGAAACATGATTGCACTAGCTCCTATTTTTTTTAAATTTGTAAAATTCTCAAATTATTAACTATTTTCAAAGTTTTTTTAGTTAAGTTTTCTCCATCAAACCTTAGTTTTAAATTATTTCTTTTTTAAATTTATTATTTTTCTCTTGAATCTAAATTACTTTTTCCACTTATTTATTTAAATTAAGTATACATATTTCTCTCATAATTTTAAATATTTTACTTAAATTAAAAAAAATCATATAATGTTGGATATATTTATTAGTTTAATAACGTAATAGTTTATGGTAAGTTGTTAACACTAACCTGTCTTTACAGTATGAATATGCTAAAATCCGACCTGTATTCTCCTCACCATTAATTCGTCAACTTCTTATCTTTAAAATTTTTTTATGTCAATTTTTCCCTTCCATAGTTTTTTGTTGCATTATATATTTTTTTAAAATTTAAATTATATTTATAAACATAAATATCAATATAAAAGAGATAAAAAAATAATTTCATTATTATTATTAAATAATAGTTAAATTGTGTATTTTAAGAAATAATATATAATAGGAGATGTTTTAATTATTAATAATGAATATTCTATTTTATTAGTCAGATATAAATTAAAGATATAATTTTAAAAAAAATTGAAGAGAAAATTAAAAAAACTATATATTTAAAAAGTAAAAAAACACACAGAGATTAAATTTGAAGTGTGTTGTGAGGGGTTTGCCCCAAGAGCTGGATATTGCTTCCGACCTCACTTTAAATTCAAGTTGGAGGATTGGATATTTGTTCCCATCATCGTTGCTGCTAAGTTTTGGGACATAATCATAAAAAAAATAAAATTATCACTATTTTTGGAGCATTAGAAATGGCACAAAAGACAATAATTCATTTTTTTTTCTGAATTATTGAAATTATTAGTGCAAATAAACTCTTCCCTTAAGCCATTGATGTTGTTGCCACGATTTAAAGATTCAATGTTGCCTCAAGGGTAACATATTAGATGTGTCTCACATGCTTGAATTGCATTTGGAAGACATTTAAAGTATCAGAAATTATTTAAGGAATCAGTCATTTTTGTACAAGTGTTTGGAAATTATGTATATAGTTAAAAGAATCCCAAATGGAAGAAGTGAACCTCAGATTCATGGATGATGAATCATGAATGACATCAACATCAATCATCATATGAGGTATGAGGAGCAGCGGTGCAACCAGGATCAAATGGATATTCAGAACCACAGCAATGCCAATACTGAAAAACTTTACCAGAGTCAGGAGTATTCATGGTTCCCCCTTCATACACACTCTCAAACTTTCTCTTGGTTTCTCCTGTGGTGGAGGAAGATACTAAGTGATGTGAATCAAGGCCAACTTAAATCTAAATAGTAATGCAAATAAATAACATGATATCAAAATGCACATGATTTGATTCTACTTTAGACTAAACCTTTAACTAAAATACTTATATGACAAATGAGCCTTCTAATTCCATAACCCCATACACGAGCTTGAGGTCTTAGCCTTTTCATAACAGATCCTTCTTTAACCTCAGATTTACTAATAGTTTAACTTCCTTTTTCTAAACACTCAATATGGCTCTGTACCAGTACAACAATTCATGTTATTGTGGCTAGCATTTGTAGCTGCAGAAAATACAATTTTAAGAGTGAAAGTGAAATCACAGGCTTGATAAGGCATGAGTTCTAATATCAGAAGCTCTCCTTCATGAATGTTCACCAATTTCATGTATTACTATTCAAGCTTTGTCAGCACAAAATACAAATATGCTGCCCTATAGCACAAGCTTCGAAAAATTTTAGCTCTCATTCGCCACAGTATTGAATTTATATATATAATATGTTTGCTTATTTCTCAGAAAAAAGTGAACTAGTAAAGATATTGTGATAGCTTTAAAAAGGGTTAGAAGATAGATGTGGCTTATATGCACCATGATAACCAATGAACTAGTGGAAGCCCTTCTATACCTCTCAAGTCTCAACTATATTACTAACTCAATTTTTTTAGCCGTTGAAACTTGAAAAGAGTTCTTCAGTCATAACATAATCTTGGATATAAAAATGAAGTAGTCGTGCGTTGTGAAAAACAATTCATATTGGTTTTTAAACTACATACATGTACTTGATCTCAGGTTCAGAAGTAAAAAATTAAAGAGAACCACATTTATAAGTTTAGTACACTTTTGTCAGCCAGGACAAGTAACAACCTCAATGAAGTCGCAGAATTGAAAAAGCAAAAAAGAAAGAAAACTATGTTCAGATAAATTAACTTGGTCTTTTATCTTATCTAAATTGGGGCCAATTAACCTAGCAATAATCCAAGTTTTTTTGCCAGGGATCTAATTATATCATTTGAGATCTTTGGAAGAATTCTAATGACATCAGAAGATTCCTCGAGTTCCTTTGTAATTTTGATGAGATTAAGGAGAGAGGAAATATATAAACTTGGGACATTACTTTGCAAATTAGAATATCTACAAATAGGCCATTTCAATTCAACTAAACCCACTTTTATATATTCTTCAATATCTACATTCTGCGTCTAAAAATGGAAAATTTAACACCCCCCCCCCCCCAAAAAAAAAAAAAAAGCACATAATTTTGCATAGTCGATGACATAAATTACATATGAACTAGAGAGAATCGAAGTGGGGTACCTCCAAAATGGGCAGTGTGAAATCGACAAGCAAGAGGGTGATTGAGTGCAGGGTCGAATTGGGTTTTGCAATTCTTACAAGTTTTGAGGTTGATGTTGGTTTTGTGGCTTGAGCAACACCGAATATATGGGAATTGATGCAAAAATGTGTATGTGTGTGTGTTGTTGGGCTTTGATAAAGTTATGCTTTGAGATTGCAGAGCTGAAAGGGTTTTGTTCCCATGAAGAAGAAAATGGTGAGAAAAGGAAAGAGCCATGGAGCTATGAGAAAACGGATAAGAATTGTTTTGTTACTTTTCACTCTGCTTTTTGGTTTGGATTCTCTTCATGTTTTCATTGTGAACAGAATGAATGTAAGAATTAATAATGATTTTGTATTACCTCAACCTATTTATTAAACTGAAAGAAAATTAATCAAACGAAATGTTTGCATAAATATCAAAATGAGATGATAAAAAATTTATAGTGATTTTGAAGAATATTTTTATATTAAAAATATATAAACAAATACGAAATAAATAATAATATATAATATTATCAATTAAAAATAATATAATTTATTTAATCGTTAAAAAATATTTATTTCATGAAACATTAAAACTTTATTAGCCCCGATTTGAAATTTTTTTTATTGGAAATTATTAATGTAAAATGATTGATAATCATCAAATTTGATTATAAGAAGAAAAAAAAAGTTTACACTTGATTGTGCACTTCAATGTCAAAGCTAAGTAATATCTGCTATTTGTAAAGAATACAAAATCACCTTAATCAAATTAGCTTTTCTTTTATTATTGAAAACAATTGCATACCATCTTAATTAATATGAAATTTCATTAAGAAAATATATTACTAAGGTTCAATGTCATCTTTTTCAATCATCAGGTAAAGTAGTTTCAAAAGACATTTTTTTTCCAACTTATTTTTGTGATTGAAATTTTTTTTCTCAAGATTTTGATTTTTGAAACAACAAAAAAATTACAATAAAGAAACTTATGAAAATAATAATAATAAAAAGAATATTTCTATTATAGGTGAGAGAATACTTACATTAAAAAAAGGAAAAAGTATAAGTGGGTACTATTCATTTAAAGAAAAATTCAAACTCGACAATACCAAAAAAGTTTGGGCAAGTATAAGCATGAGTTTTACCAAAAAGGCTTCGATATGTAGTAATTGGGTCAAGTTCTAAGATTTGAGTCCAAATCTAAACCCAATTTCATCAAAGGAAAGGGTCACTGACCACAGCAGTTGGAGAGAGCAGAGAAGAGAAGAGATGGAGCTGAGTTTAGCCTCAACAATAACATCGTTTATGCCCCTAAGCTTCAAGTTGAAATTGAAGAATGGCATTTTCCACTCTCAAATTCCCATTCTCACAGCTTCGAATAAAAGCAGAATAACGAAACCCTTGTTCCTCGTTAACGCCTCAAGACAAACCTTGTCCTCTAACTGGCTCGCTTCCAACGATGATTTTTCTGCATCAACCGCTTCTCCATGGCTTCCCTCGTTCGAAGAGCTCGACACCACCAATATGCTTCTCCGTCAGAGGATTATCTTTTTGGGCTCTCAGGTTCTCTCTCCTCTCTCTCTCTCTCTCTCTCTCTCTCTTCGTTGTTTCTTTATTTTATGAGTACACTTTATCCTTGTGATTATGTTATTTTGGGAAATTTGCAAACTTGTTCATGTGGGTTCATCTGAAGCATGCCCACAATAACAGAAAAATTAACAAACAGAAAAAAAAAAAAAAAAGAGGAAAATTAACATGATAGTGTTGAATTACTGGAGAGATGTTGTTTGGGGCTGTTGATTTTGGGAAATTTGTTGGTTGTTAATGTGGGTTCATTCTGAACCGTGGGATTTTTCCCATCAACTATAGAAAGAATGAACAAACAGGGACGAGGAAATGCAGCTGAAGAGATGGTGTCTGATGGTGTGTTTGTGAATTGGTTTGTTTGATCAGGTGGATGATATGACTGCAGATTTTATCATTAGTCAGCTTTTGTTTTTGGATGCTGAAGACTCAAAGAAGGATATCAAGTTATTTATAAATTCACCTGGCGGTTCTGTTACTGCAGGTATGTAAACAAGGTTTTGTTCATTGTTTTGTTCTTATCCACTTGACTTGCAGATGCGCCTGACTCTTGAGTTTAATTTTGGAGTTGGTTGTGCAGAGATGTTAACTTTCTTAATACCAAACACGATCTTTTGGGCTTTGGTAGCTCAAATCAGTGATTTCACTGATTTGTTGCTTGTGGTGACAGACACTCTGCTAAGTGCTAACAGAGCATTGAATGAAGCATTCTTATGTTATACATATCATAAAGAAGTATATAATTAAGATACAACTGAGTTGTTGGTATGTGTTATACCCTACTCTATTTACAGATAAAGACAAGAAATTGTTGATCACTCTAACTTGCAAGCTAATTCAGATTTGTGGAAATTTGAATCTCATTATAGTATATGAAATGTTCTCTGAATAAGAGATTGAATGTATTGAATTTGTGAGTATAGGAAAGGAAACTAGTATTAGTGAAGTATGGGACATTGTTCAGTTTAATGAATCTGAAAAACATGTATTATGCTAATTGCTCTTACTTTCTTTGTCATTGCATGCAGGAATGGGAATTTATGATGCCATGAAGTTATGCAAAGCAGATGTGTCGACCATTTGCCTTGGGCTTGCTGCATCCATGGGTGCATTTATCCTTGCTGCTGGTTCAAAAGGGAAGAGGTATTGTATGCCAAATTCAAAAGTTATGATCCATCAGCCACTTGGAACTGCCGGTGGAAAAGTAAGACTGTTCACTTAACTTATTCTCTGACTTTGTGTTGTCAATTACAAATAGGTCTGAAGTTTGCACTCATATGTTCATGCTTAAGTTTACACTTAGATTTCAAGCATGTGTTGGAGAAGTATAGGATATGGAATGCATAAGATTCCCGTTAACTGCTAGCAGTAGCACCTTTTGTTTACTTAATCCAATATGAAATGACTGAAAGAATCTATCTTTAGAAAAATAATTAACCCCAGAAAATATGCTGCTTAAATATAACTAATAAACTGATTAGGTTACATTACTTGATTTGTATTTATGCTAATAACCAAACCACCCTTCTCTATCCACTAAATGAGACTTCTGCGGTTTATACAAAAAAACTTTTATCACTAAACATGCTAATAAGCCATTTGGCATCCTGAACTAACAACTGATTTTTGTTTTAGTGTGTGGGTCATTAATTGTTCTGACCTGGCCACCTTCACAATATGTTATGTATCAGTTGAATTACAAGCAAGTTGCATACTAGTAATTTCAAGGACTAATGAGTTCTCCGTTGTTTAACTTATCCCTGAGTATATGTTAGCATTTTTTTGTTATAATGGAACTCTAAAAACTTGTCTTGCAAATTTCAAAAGTGATGACTTGGTTGAAAAGCCAACTTGATAGTTATTAAAAGGTCATTTTCTTGGCGTGCTATTTTTCATGTAGATGCATTAGAAGGGTGCAACTTTGATGTATACTGAATGATTTTGTAGAAATCAAACTGGTGAAAATTGTAATCGAAAATTGACCATCTATTATGAACTCATAATGTCTGGCGTGATATGCTACACAATTACTGTATGTAAGATGAGTTCTTTTAGTATGCTTATGCGATGGTTCTTCTTTTGATGGCTCTGAGCAGAGTTTTGCCATTGTGTATTACTAAATAGTAAAATGTTATTACAGGCTACAGAAATGAGCATTCGTATAAGAGAAATGTCATATCACAAGATTAAGATAAACAAGATACTATCAAAAGTTACAGGGAAACCTGTAGAGCAGGTTAGATATCAGATGGAACCTCCTTATCAAAATATCTAATTTGTTTGTTGTCTAATATGATACATACTTTTCACCCCTTTAATTACTTTTACTTTCAGGTTGAATTGGACACTGATCGTGATAATTTTATGAATCCTTGGGAAGCTAAAGAATATGGTTTAGTTGATGATGTTATTGATGATGGAAAACCAGGATTAGTGGCACCAACTGCAGATGCATCACCGCCACCAAAAACTCAGGTACCGCAACAATGGAAAGTGGAAGGAAGCCGGAAAGCAATAAAAAATTTGCCCTCAGAGCATAGGCTTTTACAGAATGCGTATAATAAAGGTCTGAAAAGTGATGATGATAAAGGCACTGAACAAGAAGGGGAAACACCTGTTTCTGTATGAGTTAAGAAACATGGATTGTGTTACTTCTTCGCTCAATAGATCTGTTTACTTTAACTATTCATCACCTCCTCCAGAAGGATAAAAGGGTTTTTTCACTGTTATAGCGGGTCATATTCTATGTAAGATCCAGACTGTATATTAGTTATCAAAAACTTACTTTAATTGTTAGATGCCTTGATGAATATAATGTATTCTCCTCTTTTTCCTCCATACATTAAACCTCGTTCCCTGAGTGTCAGCTTAATGAAATAGAAGAGAAAGGGAAGCTATGTGCAATAGTTCGTGCTTGGACTGTTTGGGCTGACTGAAACACGTGCTACTACATTTGATTTATGGCTTCTTTGCACTTTATTGACAATGAAAAATTGTCCATAAGCCCTTTGTTCCGCAGATGAGGATTCTTTCATATTACTCAAAGATCATATCAGTGTAAACAAAAGAAGGAAAAAACAAAACACAATTTGTATTGTTGCGAGACATCCCATTACATGTGCAGGGCTCCAGCAATCTTACAATAAAAGTTACTTGTTTTTCAAAACAGGAAAAAGTTACGTTCAAAAGGAAAAAAAGAGGCTACAGATTCCTATTGCTAGCAATGTAGTGTATTATATTCACTGTGCGGAAATTAAATAATACATCTGTCTATAGCGTTATTCAGATGCTGTTAATGGTTGTAAACCATCTGTACATTAAAAAAATTGAGAACAAGCACCGCAAAGCTGTAAATTTTTAGCATATTAAAGATCATCTCAAGACAACATTTAATTTGCTCTGCACCTGTTCCCTTACTTTCCACTGCATTGACAAGGGAATATGAAGTGTTAGTAGCTTTCAAAACAAAATATGACGCCAACATAAAACCAATACTAGTTATGATTGCCCTGTATTTCTAATTATATTAAATACCTGTAGATCGTTAATTTCATCATCAGTAAGAGAACGTTCCATAGACCTATATGCAATCCTATAGCAATGGCTGGTCATTCCTTTTTTGTTGGTGAAATTATCTATTAATTGCACCTGCAATTTCAAGAAGCAAAACAGAAAAAAGAACCGAGATTATTGTGTCTCTTGGTAAAAGGGAAGAACATGATAATCCATTCACAACTAAAAGATCAATCTAAGACAGGAAAAAAGAAAGAAAAAAATAATAATAATAACTCCCTTTTGAGCTTGTGATTTTATCTTAGTAGCTACGTACAAGAAATCTCAAAGCATCATTGGTCAACCGTGAATATTGAAGTATGCCCAATGGGATGCTGTGGTTCCATCCCATGAATCTAAGGAAGGTCTGCTAAGGGACTATTACATGAAGACTAAGGTAATGCTGACAAAATGTTACGTTAATTCTGATTGAGAAAAAAGTCTACTTCAAATAGATACTCCTATTCATGATATTTTTATGTTTTAATTGGACATGATCTCCCTGAAGAGTGAGAAGCAAGATGCTCTTGCTACATCAAGTCCAAAGGTAAAAACATTATCAGACTACAGTCTTGACTCTAGACAAATAAAGCTAGATTGTGATAATCAAGCAGTCAGACTTATTTTCTTCGATCTTTGTTTTAACAAGATCAAATTGATAGAAGTTCACTTTCTTGTTCTATCAAGTCTACTTTTATATTTGATAGATTCAAATGCAATCAAGCACCACCCACCCGCTTAAAATCAATTAAGAGATGTGTTATGGACTTTATCCAACAAGATGGAATTGCAAAAGTCCCTTCTAGTCTTTGGTTTTGGTTTAGCAACTTATTCCCTAAAATGAAATTGAGGTTTGTCTTAGATTAATTTTAGCCCATTAGGATGTTGTGGCAAGTGAAGTTATAGCTTCTAGTTAAATAATTCTAGTAGGTTTATAATTCAAGTGGGGTAATAAGATGATTTATTGTGAAGCCAATGCTGCAGTATATGAAAATATTGTCAACCCCAATCCACGACACAAGACCAGCTCACCTCATTTATGTTGCCATAGAACTTTATGAAAGCAGCTAAATTGAAAATCCAAATAAATGTAAAATGACAAAAAAAGTTTTGCTCATATTATTCAAAAGTATACCTCTTCTACAAGATCCCCAGCTATTCCTCTAACAAGTTCACATAGATTATTTTCAGTAAATGATTCATTGATCCAAAAACTCATGTCTTTGTAACAGGGAGGATACTGCAAAAGAAAAACACAAAAGAATTAGAATGCTCTCACAAGATTTCATTAATCCGTCTGCTTACACTAAAAAAATATAAATTCCTCAAGACCAATTGCAAGACGGTAGTTAAAAGATATAATTCCCGCAAGATATGTATAAAATTGTTCATTTAAATACCTTCTCTGAGATTTACATATAAGATGAGTATCATTTGACAAGAACGAAACTAAAATGCAGAAAATATATTCTAAATATGCTAGTTAAAAGAACTATGTATATCTGAATTAGATGATGACAGCACCTTTAACATAGTGAAGCATCAAAACCATGGGCACATGCAGGTCTAAGTCCTAGCTGTATCTTTTTAGACCGGTAAAACTCTTCACATTTTCTCATCAAATAACAACATAAGAAATATTAAAGAGTTTTACATAATTATGTGGACTATCTTAACTTTCAACCACATGAATCATTCTCATATAACTTTCAATTGCAGTAATATATTGTAGGCAATAACAGAATATTCCAAGCCATGAATCCACTCAGAAAAATGACAACAAATGTAGACACCCAAGGGTAGGCATACAGATGCACACGTAGGTTACCTTTGAAAATGGCTTAAATTTGACTCCTAATTGGCCCTTGGAGAACTGTGTAAATAATCAAAATAAGCAAGCATGTGTAACACGTTAGAGAAGAGATCACAAAGGAATTATATTAATAACATAATATTGTGATTTTCAAGATGACTAAAGCATCGATTCTTGTAGTCACAAATGGCAACCAGGAAAAAACAAGAGACAACAGTGAAGGATGTTTGTTAAACATTCAAGAATACCTGGGATGTAAATCGCTCATCATCTGACCAAAAGAGACGAATATCAGGTATGTCAAATAGAACCATAGCTAACCTCTCCAACCCTAAGCCAAAAGCCCAAGCAACATTATTAGGTTTCCCATTACTTTTCAAAATCTCTTGCTCTGTCACTCCACATCCCAAAACCTCCAACCACTTTTCCTGGTATGAAAGATATATTAAACATTATATTTCAATACAAAATTGAATTGAGGAAAGGAGAGGGATGAAAAGAAATAAAACAAGCACAAGAATAAATAACTGGTGGAAAGCTGTTCATTCACTAATAAATTTGCTTCTTCAAGAATTGAAATTGGATGACAAATTATATGTTGACATGACAAATACAAAATAAAATAAAAGCTTACCAGGTAGATGACTTATCCTAGGCCATCAAGTAACCCTCATCCTATCAACCTTATATTATAGTGTACCAAAAAAGTCTAAGGTAAAACCCCCCATACACCAGTCTAATTTTGAAAATGATAACGTTTACTGACACCGTGATTTCATAGGCATAAACTAGTATCAGGAATTATATAAACAAGGTATGTTAAAGAGACAATCATGCATAGCATACCTTGAAATATATTTCAAGTTCAAATGATGGATTAGTGAATGGGAAATATGTATCCACCCAGCGCATTTCCACTGCACCTGCAACAGTACGAGGGAAAATATCATAAATAAGCATTTTACACAAATTATACTTAGCTTTAAAAGAATATCTCAAATTCACAATTGGATACCTTTTCTAAATTTAATTTCATGTTGAAACCACTTTATCATTTCTGTATTACAATGAGAATATCATCATAAAATATCTAATCTTTTCACTTTCCTGTTGACAGTGTGTATATATATATATATATTATTTTTACTTTTTTTTTTTGAGGGGGTAGGAAAACTAAGTTGTAACATAGAGGGAAACCAATGTCTTAAGGTTCCCACCACTGTGGGTTCCAGGGAAGGTCAGATATTGCAATCTTACCCTTGTAAGCAAAGAGGATATTCCTGCAACTTTAGTCCCCAACCACTAAGTCAAAAGTTATAAACCAAATTTCTCCTCTACATAATCTTTTAAAAATGTTTTTAGCAGCTTGTGAACAACAGAAAATGCATCTATCAATCTATCAATGTAAGACTAAGTGCAATAAACATGAAGTATCTACCCAAAGTTAAATTGATTACTTTGTTTCCTTCTACTAATTCATTTTACAAATCCTAATTAATTATCAAATTGCATCAACTGAAATGAAATGAGTGAATTGACCATTTGGAAATACCAAATAAATGGCGTGCTAGACCCTCAAGGCATTTCTTTAAGTCTGCTGCTGAAAATGATGTGGCATCCATTCCAGATGCCTCCCATTCATCAGGAACAAAAACCCGAAAGCCTTCCATCTACATAATAAAAAAAAAAGGAAATTATATAAAGTTAATCATTAGATTAAACCAGTCACAGTAAATTCGGACATACCTGATGGAAGACAGGATAATGAGTTGAATCAATTGAATCCCTACGGTAAACATCTCCTGTAACAAGGAAATGTGTGTATCCACTTCTCAATAATTCTGCCTGATGAGCACTTGTGTGGCACCTTAAAACAGTTTGAGGGTCTATGTAGTAAGTATCATTATAGCTCCTACTTACATGGTCTTCAGGAACCAAGACATCATCAAAATTCTGCAACAAGAAGATTGTCACAAGGAAGCCTTACCATGAAGAGCAAATCACCTTATCAACAAAAAAGAAGCAATAAGCAACATAACCAATCAGAATGAAAGGGAGAACAACAATGGTTATAAGCATTATATGAGCAGAGTTGTGGAGGCACACTTACTCTTATTTCATTGAAAATGTAACATTGACAAGACATAGCAGTATCTTTTAACTGAGGTTTCAATAATTAATTATTTTAGTTTACATGAATATGATCGTGAAACTTGAACTTCAACCTGTCAAATATAGACAGTGCATCCGAAAATATGCAGTCATGTACAAAATATGTTACTATAATCATCCCTTTTGAATAGCATTCCTTCTTTATCCCTTTTTTCCTTTCTTATATAACTTTCCAGAAGAAAAGGATTAAAGAATCTGCAGATACCAGTTAATATTAACAACAGCTAATAAAATTCTTCAACGTATTTTCATACCTCCTTCACTGAAACAATGGGACAAAGATCATCAAATTTGTTGAACTTATTTGAATAATTTGTGTCAAAATACTCATATATTGCATTCTTCAGTATCCCAAGGGGGTGTTGATCCCTCCTGTGAAGCTGCACTCCAAGTTTCGAAAATATGTTGTCTGGCACATTATTTGTAGGATCATCCCTCACCACATCTACAAGATCATGAATCAGTAATTACAACAATTTCATGAACCAAAGAACATTTTTCAACTCAATATCACTGGAAACATAAAGGCAAGTACAAAGTAAAATATGTAGGATAGCAAGTTATACACCGCCTAAAACATTCGCGTCACTTCTACAATAGCAATCATGTCAGAATTTAAAACTTCAATAAAATGACTTCAATGACATTCACATGCAGAAAGTGCACAAATTGGACACATTCACAGACATTCTCCTATAGAACTATTACACAATTGGTTCTTGAATAGAACATCTGTCAGTGATTCAAATGAAATAAATCAATACTATGGAAAAAATGAGGATATTATATTTCATACTAACCTAAGCTTCAAAGTATTTTCTGTGGATCACAATATGTGTGTTCGCAGCTAAAAAAAATATCATCTATAAGACAAAAAACATTCAGATATGGATGAAAAACAAGAAATACACAAAGTACCTTCTCTGCTTATCTTGACACCTCCAAGGTCCAAGACAGAGAAAACTGGCTGCCTCCATTTCTTCCTTGAAAGTTTGTCAGAATAGACAGAAGCAGTGGAAGATGAGAAAGGCAAGCACAGTGTCAAGTTTCTTAGGCCATTACTTTGACGAAAGAGAGAAGCCCTGGCAGAAAGTGTGGCATGCACAGAAGAGATCACCGTTGCCATACACCTGACTACCTGAGTAGAAATCCTTAACCAGCTATATTCGTTGCACTTGACAGCAGACAGAAAAAGACTTTACAAGCAACTATCTCCTTGATAAGTTAACTTACGGTATTTGATGTCTGACTGGATGGGACGCTAAATAGTAATAACCCAATTCTGCTGAAATTTGATCAGGTAAGATGAACAATCTGATCACTTTGCTAAAAAATAACTTCAGCGAAAAAAAACACATATTGCTGAAATATTTATGGCAAGTTTTTTTTCCATCTTCAGTAAAAAAATATGTGCTAATTGCTATTAATATCGCATGATTCTTTTTTCCAGAGTCTAGAGCTGTATGTTTGGATATCGATGTCTAATGATTAGTGGAAAAGGGATGGATTGAAATAGAGTGAAATAGAATGGAATGGAATACAATTGCCATACCATTGTTCAGATATATGATAAAATGTGGTGAAGTTTTCATTTCATTGTTTGGGAAGTGAAGAGAACAGGAAGGAAATTAGTAAACAATAAGTTGGTTTCATTCCATAACATCCAATACCCCCAAATTGATGAAAGAAAAATAAAGCTGTAGGATGAACCAGAATGCAATGGAATACATTCAATCACATACTAAGCAACTCTAACATTGGCAACTAATACCATCTCATTCCACTCTCCATTTCATCTATTTCCATCAATTGAAAAATAGCCATAAGCATATCAGGGAAACTGTCAATATTACAAAATAAAATATATAGAAATAGGATTTTCTCAAAGAGAAACCAAAAAGGAAATACAAGCATTAACAAGCTAAGCAAGCTGAATAGGCATAGGAATTTTCCACTATATGAATAGAAACTTCAAATTTCAACGAAAATACAATTAAAAATTAAAATTAAAAAAAAATTGCCAACAACTGAACCTCATTGGTTTCAGAAAACGGGAGCGTTAAAGAAGAAAACTCACCGTGCTTTCTGTTTCCCGTGAAGGATGGTGCAGTGTGCAACGAGTAGTAATAGTTCAGAGCCCGTTTTTTATCGGGTTATTCTTTGCCCCATGGGTACCCGTTTTCTTATTCCAGGATAAATGGGCTATGCTATTTCATCCACACAAGCTCTCAATATTTTTCACTGTTCAGCCCAAATCAAATCAATCCAGTTTTTTTATTATTATTATTTATACGATTAGGTCGTCAAATCTAATGCATTCTATTATTTAAAAAATTATTAGAAAAACAAAATATTCATAAAATTGGGGGAAAATAAGAATGGATATAAAATAAATTGTAAGCCTATTTTGTCCTCAAATATAAATAGTTAACAATTTTAAAATAAAAATTTTGAAACTACAGCAGAACAAGTGATGATGATACAACGATTATGCAACTAAATTAGGATAATTAATTCTGTATAGTCTAGATAATGTGGTTTCAACTAAGAATATTATGTTATTTGTATAAAGTTTATAATTTATAAAAAATTTCTGAGACATAACCTTGGACAACTTAATCATTACTATTAAGTCTTAGCATTGATTTGGAGAAGTGTAGAGAAAGAATATTTATTTTATTTTTAAAAACTATATATTTCTTTTAATTTTTTAAGAAAAAAATTAAAATATAGGCATTGTTTTTCTAAATTTTAGATGAAATAAATATAATAATTTGCATATTGAAATTTCTTGAAAGATATAGTATATATACTGAACCAAGTGATCAGATTCATCACATTTTAATCTGAGATCTGATCCGATGGTAATGCATTTTGCATATTTAGTCCAAACCAACCTATATCAACCATTTATGTTACACCATTTTTATTTTTTATTCTTTGTTTTCGTGAAAACTAGTAATGAGATTCCCATGAAAATTACTTGCACTAATGGATGTTAGTCGAATTTTCTCAGTAAAATTAGAGTTCAATGTCTAAGATACATCTGTTGATTCTTACTCTCCATATTCTTTCCTTACGTATCATTGCATGGATATATCTTCAACCAAGTAAACATGCTAACCAATGCATAGAGCTGAAACATGTTCCATTTATATTATTTTCCCACAATAATAATGAGTTCCTGTGTGGAGATTTTTGTGTACAATGATAACAGTAAAGTTTAGACTTATTATGTGATGCAAATGACTTAAACTCATTAATAATGTTAGTTTAATCCTATAAGTGACATTGGTATCTCTTATTTGAACCGTTTGTTTTCGAGAATGTGCTTACAAAAGTGCGCAACAAATCTATTTTTCTTTAATGTTTTAAAATTTGGCTTCATATGAAAATGCATATGTTGAGAAAGGGAAATGGACAGAAAAAAATCCAAAACTTAGAAGGAATGAATATCTACCTGCCATAGTGAGAGAAGAAAAACCAAAACCACAAACAAGTTCCAAGTCAACAAGGAATTTTGATACTTGGACGGTGGTTCTGTATGTGGTGTTGCATAATGCTTTTTCTTTTTGCCATCTTTTTGAGGGTTCGAAAGATATAGCTACTTTACACTTTAGGTAGGTCACAGAACATAACAGATTGGTCAATTATTCTCCTCTCCTATTGGATGAAATATCATATAATTAACTTTGGAAATCTAATTTGACTCACAATACAGCTCTAATACACTATATAAATTAATTAATAGTGTATTTATCATAGTACCTGAATTTGACTTGTAAGACTGTAGTTATAATTGTAACCAAATTAAAAATTTAAGTCAACACAACGTTTACTTTCCTCTTGTAACTATTTTGGTTTTAAATTCCAGCCTTTTTTAGTTTTAATCCTTTTTTGTTTTAAATTTATTTCTCAAATTTTTCACACTTTTTTTTAACATTTTTATTTCATTATTAACGGTATTATTGGCACATTAGAATTTCATTAACACAATTTATTGAAAATTAAAAATATTACCGATTTCATGAAAACAATTTAAAATATACTAATAATAACTTTGTTTGGCATACAAAAGTTTATCACAGGGGGATATGCGCTGGCCAGAAATGGGACACAGTTTTTCCTATTCCTCAAGTTAAAAGAGAATAATAAACTGTAAAATGTTTTATAAAAAGACCAATTATTTTTTGTTCCTTTTTTTACGAAATAATATAGATAGAATTAAATGTATCAAGTTTGATTGTTTGAATTACTAAAAACTGATATTATATGCAATATTGTATATCATTTTTTAATTTAATTTTTATATAAACAAATTTTAAAAATACATTTAAATATAAAAGAACTTACGAATATTATTTTTAATAGTATATCAAATGCTTTTTATAATGTATCGTATATCAGTGATTGTTGGAAAGCAAATACTCATAAATTGTTAGAGAAGACTTTCGACACAAAATCACTTGTTATAATTATATCTAGGTTTAAAATATTTTTTCAGTAAAGTAAAGTCTTTCAAGACCCAATTTCTTTCATTTTCTAAAATCACCAACCTAGCTTTATGGGCATATGAGTAAGTAATGTCCACTTCAATTATAATTCTGTTTATTATAATAACTTAATGTTCTAGACACTTGAAGTTCATCTTTCTTTCTGTGTGAATCTTTTGAGTTTCCTATATAAACACTATGCTCTCATATTTGATTTGTGCCTATCTTCTCTCTCACTCACTCTCCTCGCCTTTGCCCTTTGCTTTCTGGAAAAGAAATGGGGGCACTTGATTACCTCATCTCCAACTTTTGCACAGTTCCACGCACAAAGACCAAAGCAATGCAGGTAGGTACCATCTTTAGCAGAACCAACTCCATGTTCCTTTATACTCCATTCTTCCTTTCCCACACCTTTTTTAACGCTTTCTTTCCTTCGTAATCTAAAGAAGCCTTTCTAAAACCTTAGTAGTTTCATTCATCTAGCTAGCAGCTAGCTATATCACACACCATTCCTTCCTCACACTTGAATTTGTCTTCTTGTTTAGACAGTTGAGATCAAAGTCAAAATGGACTGCGATGGCTGTGAACGAAAAGTCAGAAATGCAGTGGCTACAATTAAAGGTTCCAATCCATGTTCCATTACTAGAGATCAAGAGCTAACTCCGTCTCTCTTATTAATTTTTAATGTGTTTGGATTAACGTTAAATCCATTCAAACTCAGATCTATTCTGACGCTGTAAGTTATAGCTTTGACATAAAAAAGTAATTTATCGTGATGTTTCAGAGTTTCCAAATATGCACTTTGTGAGTGCATGGTGCAGCTTGCTCAATCTCTTACCTAGCGAATTATATATAGTTCTACGTACACTTTTTTAGTATATATATTTTTTATATTTTGGTTATAGTAGAAAGTTCATTTTCTGACCCAGGAATGGAGAACGGAGAATATATATCCATATACATGAGAGGGTAGAGAAAATTCCTACATTTGGAGCAAACTAATGACATGGTAAATTGTGATCATTAGTGGAATACTGATAAAAGTTAAAGTGATTAACTTCGACTTCACAGCATTATAAGTTGTCTTTTCCTGCCTCTACTTTTTCTATCCGAATGTTTTGATTATTAACTTTCCTGTAAATTTCTTTATATTATTTAACCCTACTGCTTTCGGAAGCTGCATGTTCACGACCAATATTCATTACTTTATGTGTCACACAGTTATATGATATAAATTGTTTATATATGTGTAAGTAATATTAGAGATGTAATATAAAAGTACTATTCATATGTTTTCACTAAATATTTTAATTTTGACATGATATCTTGGTTTCTATGATCGAGCGGTTTGAATTACGATTAATATTATTATTATTCCTTTCTTTTAATAAAACTTTGAATTTTAACTCAAGGTAGGTTGATCGATGCCTATAATATTTATATTCATGTATATATTTTTACATAACAATTTAACTGTTTAGAATATTTGATTTGCAAGAAGTTAATATTAAAAAAGAAACTAAATTATTATCAAAATCACAGTTAAGTACTTGTTTAGTTAAACCAAACATGCTATAAATATATGCATCATTATACAAAACATTTTTTTTTAGGTTAACCATACGCATGCATGTTTTACAGGAGTAAAAACCGTGGAGATAAACCGAAAGCAAAGCAGGGTGACAGTGAATGGTTGCGTTGATCCAAACAAGGTGTTGAAGAGGGTAAGAAGAACTGGGAAGAAAAGAGCTGAATTTTGGCCTTACGTTCCACAATATGTGGTGGCTAATCCTCATGCTTCAGGAGTCTATGATAAAAAGGCACCAGCGGGTTATGTTAAAAACGTGCAAACATTTCCAGCATCGAGTGAAACTGAAGAGAAATTCATGTCTTTTTTCAGTGAAGATAACGTAAATGCATGCTCCATCATGTGATCTAAGCAATCATATCCCACAAGACTCGATCTACAGCTTGGTCTAGATGATGAAGCAGCTTTTTTCCCTTACACTTGAGGATGCTTCAAGTGTGATGGAGAAGGGTCAATGAATTAATGTACTAACTCTTTTCTACTTTTGTTAATGTAACTTGCGGAATTGCCATCAATTATTGAACCTTCGTGGAAAATGAAAAACGCTGGAGTGCAATCAAACTTTAAAAAGTATATTAAAATAGCAGAAATCATTTTTGAAAGGTGTTGGGAGGAATTTGATTCTTGCTGCCTACCACAGACAAATCGAATAACGCAATGTAAAAGGACCACTGTTACTCCTAACTCCTTCGTTAAGCCTATAGATGACATGATTGATAACAGGTTAATGTTTGAATCAACGTTAAAGTGAGACAACAAAGTGTTATTTTATTTAATTCTTGAGTATATGTAAGAAAGATTAACAAAACAAAATAAGTAAATGTTAAAAGTGGTTATATATAATATTATTTTTTTAATGTTCAACAACGAAACTTCTGATAATAAGTCAAGTTAACTATAGAACGATATATAATAAGGGATTTTGTGTGTTTGTATTCACCTCTTAACTAAAGATTGTTTGAAACCAATCTCATTTCTAAAACGTATTTTTATCAATTAGAAATCAGCAAATTCATATATTAACGTTTAAAAGACCAGTTATTTATCATTTATGGTTGATAGAAGTAATTTTAATATTTTATTAACTATGTTGAACTGGTGTACATGATATTCCTTACTTTTGGAATAAGACAACCTATAACTTTTGTGAAAAAAGTAAAAACGAAAAAACATGAGAGTTTTTATTTCACATTGTTGAGAATTGAACAATCTAATAATGGATCTAATAATGGATCAATGTATTTATCCTAAAAGGGTTTGTAGTTAGTAGTTTGTAGGAAGTGGAGAATTGAACAAATTAGGAGCCACAGATCAGGTATATCTCAAAGTTATTAATTATCAATTATATTTAAAAAAAACTAATTGACATTGAAAATGAATTTTTATGAAATTGAATACGAGTAAAGAAAAATAAAGAATGTTTATTACGATTTGTCAGTTAGTTATTTAATTTTTAGGCTTTTTTCTTTCTTTCTTAAATCATTATTGATATTGTTTATTAATTTGTACATAAATATTATAAAACTTCGCAAAAATATTGGCAAGTGGACTTCCGACATTTTGGAATCACTTTTATCCGTTGAATCCAAGAAGGTTCTCTTACTCTCTTTCACTTTTTTTTTACCAGATAGACCTTATTCTCCAAGCTTTTCCCTGTAAAATGTCATTTTCTTCAAAGCGTAAATAACCTGCTATTTTATACGTTTTCAACTTATGATGAATATTAAATTTTAAAAGGAAAAGGTACTCAATTAAAGACTTGAGACGATACCACAATGATTAAAAATGGGTTGCATGTGAAATTTTTATTTATGATTTAAAGTTTTAAAAGTTAAAGTTTTGCTTCTGTAACAAGCTATTTAAAATATACTTTTATAAAGTGCATATCCAATTATTGAATTTATTTTATTTAACGAAAATATACAGTTAAACTTTTTTATCAAACAAATACGTCAGATAATCTTATGATCACTGTATGAAATTTCATGTGTCTTCACTATATATATATTTATTTAAAACAATTTTTATCATTATATGTATGCAAACACATATTATTTATAAGTGATGTCAAATTTATAAAATTTGAACTTTACTCACATATACAATCAATTTCGAAGTTAAACTTATTAAAATAAATAAATTTGATCGAATATTTAATGAAACAAATTTAAATAATTCATGAATGTGTCAAAAAAAATTATCCTTATTATACAGTGTGTAAATTTCATTTTGTATGTAACATAATAACTTGGTATCTTCGTAATGATTATTTTGTACACGGTTGCGGAACAACGATTGCTTATAATAATTATAATTTTTATATTAACAGTAATATCAAATAATGTTTGGAAAGCTATTTTCTAGTGTAACTAAGCAGGAGTTCCCTTGTATTGGGTTGGAGTATTCCTTCCGTTCCCTTACTAATAATATTTTCATCTTACTGATAAAAAAAGCACAAGTATCTAATAAAATGTGTAATATTTTAGTACTAATGCTTGTTATTAATTCCTTTAATTTTATGTGTAAAAAAGTACTTGGTATGTTTTAAATTTAAAACAAAATTTACATAATTTTCTGAAAAAATTACACAATTGTTTTTGGGTAAAATATCAGTGTTTATAACTTCGTTTATGAATTTTGTAAATCACTTTGTAAGTAGTAGGCCCTTATTAAAAATTAAGTGCCTTCTTATGTCAAAATTTTTTAAGAACAATAATAATAAAAATAATATAAAAAACAGGAGTTAATTGTTTTTAAGTAAAGCATTTCATGAAGACACCATGGAATCTGCTTACTTTAGAGGCAGCAAGTTAGGCACGTACGTAAATAAAAGGGTGTGTAGAGCATGTTCGGAAAAATGAAAATTAGAGAATAATCATTTTGTTTAAATTGTCCAAAATGTTACGTGAAAAAACTGAGTCGAATACAATTAAACTAATGCCAACTTGCACTCGTTTTGACAGAATAATACAACGTTGATATGATTATGATTTTTCTTTTTTTAATTCCTGAAAAGACTCAGAGAATCGTTTTAGATACTAAAGAAAAAGGCATTAAACTGTTTAGTTTTTAATAATTCGAACAAAAAGTTTAAAATTATTGAAAGAGATTACATATATTATTGACTTAATTATACAATCCCTACAAATATGCATTGATAATAATTTGTAGTGTGTCTGTTTCTTACATTTGCCAACGCAAACAACTATATATAAACACGTAATCTGATGCAAATATTTTAAGCTTTTCTTACTAGAATCTGTGATGAGGTAAAATTTATAGTTCTACTGACACCCATTGCCATTGATAGAATCATATATAATACAAACAGTTACCATGTGCACGTTCAATTTTGTTAACTTTGCTTTAAGCATTAGATTATGCTGGTTGCTCTTGCTCATAATATATAATTATGCAAATGTTAATCAATACTTGATTAAGATAATAAAAGTGAAATTTTTTCTTTTAAAAAAAGATTATTAATATATGTTATTTTATATTTTTAATTCTTAACCAGTAATTTTTAACACTGATTAGCAAGATCTAATAATAATTATTGATAAATTTAGCTTGATAGTTGCATTAAATAATGGTTTGTACACCGAATTTGACGTGAATAAAATTGAGCATACATGATTATAAAAAAAATTATATTTTTCAATAGCTTGCTTAATGAATTTACTGTGTATAAAAAGTTGTTAAATAAAGTAACTTTACAATATTTACTCAGTAATTAAATTCATATTTTTCAATTTATCTATATGTGTATGTATTGTGAATCGACTATTCCAAACTCTGATAAAAATAAAAACTTAAGTTTTGTTTTATATTTTATTTTTACTATAAAATTAAAAGAAAATTATAATATATCAAGGTCTCAAGATGTAAGATGTAGTGAGAATATTCCAATTAGCAACATGCATGTTATATATATTTCCATTAGGCAACCAAACCCTAGGAAATCTAAATTGGATCGAAAATATAATGATTCATTTGAAACCAACAATTTTCAAAGAGCAAATAAATTAGGACAACGGGATTGTTATTTAGTCACTATTTCATTTATCGTTTACATACGATACTCTGAAATTGTTCTAACATTTCACCCAAAAAGAAAAGGAAGTGAGAGCCATGCCAATGAATTCGTGTGACCAATCAATAATATTCATAGTCTATGCACCTCAGTCTCACACCACAAGTAATTTTATGAACTATGATTTAAGCTGTGACTGTTCTTCACTTAATCCCAACAATATCACCCACAAGTTGAAAATAAGTGTAGAACACACATCCTTGAAATTAAGTTCGCTTTACTACAATTGGCATCACTCAAATTATTTAGTAATGGCTCATCCCTCCAATATAAAACAACTCTACTGTATTTGAATCTTATGTTGTAATTGTAACCTTATCTGATCATGCCATTTAGTTGATGAGGACCAGCCAATTTCATAAAAGAGAGGGCAAAGAAACCTTTATTTATTGCTTTGTGTTATGGTAGTAAGCAAATATATTCCAGCTTTATATAGGCTTTGCACAATCAACCAAGGCCACTGAGCATGACCATAAACATATATTCCCAGTTAATTTCTGTCCCTTTTGACCATATTTGTTCTCTATAGCGCATACCCTATTGCATAATGAATCATAATAAATAAAGGGACGCATGATTACTTTATTGATAAGTAATACCAAAAGGTGGGGAATTGATGATAAAGAGCTACACCCTTTAGTTTTAATATTTAAATGGAGGCTTCTGCTTGATGAACTGTAGTTATCTTTTAGGAGCCTGTCGATAACATGGTTTTGCTTTGATTGACATATAAATGTCCACTAATAAACCATATAGTAACATTTTGTTTTCCTATAAATTCTATTTATATATATATATCCCAGGATTCTAAAATAGTGAAAGATTTGTTCATGGCAAAACTAATGGGTTGGCCAGATCAGGGAAAGAAATCAATATTTGCAAACAAAGATCTATACATTTAGTATTCAATGATAAGTAGATACATAATTTATTGACATTAGAAGATGGAGCTGTTACTATTTCACAAAATGCCGAGCAGATGAGGTATACAAGCTTTGAAAAATGTTAACAGCATATTTTTAGATATTAATTAAAGTTTATTAAAAATTAAAAAATTATATGAATTACAATTTTTTTTATTTTTAATTTAATATTTATATATAGTATTTTTATAGTTTTTAATAAACTTTAATCAATAATTAAAAACATATTATTATCATTCTTCGATTAATGTATCAAAAATTATTATTCTTCAACTAAAGAAAGTATTAATTGTAATTTAATATATGCACAAAATTGTCATTTGCTTTCTC